AGAGAATGAAAAGGAGATTTCCTCTGGAGGGAGAGCCCTCTTCCCTGGAGAGCTGCAGCTGCCCGCACATGTCCTCCAGGATTAGGCCAAATCCCGCAGCAGGTGGAGGGGGGCGGGGCTCCCAGTCAGGGTCCTGGGGCTGTGGGAAGCGCTGGGCAACTGGGGCGAAGTGTGTACAGGCCTGATTATGTGCACACCTGACCGTGCCTGGACCTGGTGACCCCGGGGTGGTCACCTTTGTTCCTTCCTCCACCACGCGCTTTACTGTACCCAGTGCTGCTCTGGATGGGGGCTTGGGAGCAGGGAGCAAGAACGCTAAAGTGCATTAAAGGCTGTGCAGACAAATGGGGTGGGGGACCATCGGGTTTCTCCTGCGTGGGGAAGAGAGTGGAAACGAGGGTGGGGGATTGATTTTCACCGAAAAGAGTTGTTTTTTCGATGAAACCCAGGGCCTCACACTAGTGCTCCACCGTTAGGCTACATTCGCAGCCATTTGTTGAAAAACGAAGTGTTTATTTTATTTTTTTGGTACCAGGGATCAAACTCACAACTGCGTGCTTTTTTTTTTTTTGAGACATGATTTTGCTATGTAGTTCAGACCAGCCTTGAACTCACTATGTAGCCCAAACTGGCCTTGAACTCATGATGACCTTCCTGCCTCAGGCTCTTGAGTGCTGAGATACCATGCCTAGAGAGCAATAATTTTTTAAAAAAAAAATACAAGTAAAGAGCAGGGGATGTAGCTCAATGGCACAGCGCCTGCATGTCAAGCACAAAGTCCTGAGCTACATTCTTAGTACCAAAAAAAAAAAAAAAAAAAGAAAGAAACAAAAAAGAATTCCAGTAGTACAAAATGTTTTCAACCAGGTGTGGTGGTGCATACCTGTAATCCTAGCACTTGGGAGGCTGAGGCAGGAAGATCTGTGCAAATTTGAGGCCAGCTTGAACTACATAGTGAAATACTTTTTCTTTTTCTTTTTTTTTTTTTTTTTAAATTTTTTGTCTTTTTCGTTTTTATCGGTACCAGGGATCGAACTCACGACTGCCTGTTTGCAAGGCAGGTGCTTATGCCGCTGAGCTAAATCCCCAGCCCCTTGAGATACTTTTTCAAAAATGAAAAAACCTTCTAAAAAGTAACCTTAAAAACCCCATCACCATCCCCATCATCATCATAGTTATTTTATAGCACTGAGGAACACTCAGCCTTACCACGATAGGCAAGCTGTGTACTACTGAGTTATAGTCCCAGCTCCCACTTTTTTTTCTGAGTATCAGGAATGGAACTCAGGACCTCACACTTGCCAGACAGGTGCTGCAGCACTGAGCTAAATCCCTGTCCCCAAGCCCTTTATTTGATTGGTTTTTTTTTTCCCTTTATTTATTATTGTTTTTTGGTACAGGGTCTTGCTATGTAGTTCAGGGTGACTTTGAACTCACTGTGTAGCCTAGGCTGGTCTCAAACTTGCAGTGACCTTTCTGCCTCAGCCTCTCCAGTGCTGGGATTACAGGCATTTGCCACCACACTGGGTTTCTGTGGTGGCTCTTTAAACTGTGGTTTGCAGGTATAAAGCTCCCACTTCTTCAGTAGCACCTGTATCTCCTGTAAATAGACTAGAAATGCAAATTCCCAGACTGCACTCCAGACACACTGCCCTCCAGGTAACTATGACAAGTGTTACAATTTGAGAGTGACTGCTTACAAAAACACTATCTAGGGGCCAAGGGTGTAACTGTGGAGGAGCAGTTGCCTAGCATATATGAGGCCTGGACTTTGATTCCCACACCAAAAAACAACCCCCTAAAGGAGTGCTAAGCAGTGTTTGCCTCTGATGAGCACCGGTTATAGAAATCCTTCCTTACAGGAGGAGAACCCCGAAACAGCAGGACTCAGCCTGAGAACTGGCCTAGAATAATGGGCCCACAGAGGCTGCCCCAAGAAATGACTTTTTGCAGAACAAGTAGGGATTGGCCACTTGAGAACTGGGAGGAGCAGTACCCGTGGGAAGGAAGCACCTCTGTGAGGCTTTGAGATGGAGGGACTGACAGTCACAGGCTGGAGTGAAGTGCTGGCCTGGGGCACAGACATCCCCCTAACACACCTCCCTGTTTCGAGCCCACCTGGAGTTTCTCCTGACCCTTAGAACTGTTGGGCTGAGGGTGAACTCTGCTGTGGACAGAGGATCTGGCCCTAGGCATCAGCTCCCCTACTTTCCCATGTCTGACCTGGGGCCTATGACTTATTCCTTCTGAGCCTCAGTGTCCTCATCTGGGAAATGGAGACAAAGAGACCTTGCTGGAGGGGCTGCTGTGAGAAGTGAATGAGATCACCAGCTCCATGCAGCAGCCTGGGCCTGGAGTTCATTCCCTCCTAATCTCCATGCAGCAACAGCTGTTGTTTACTAAGCACTTGAAGCACTCTGAGAAAGTATCATCATTCATTCCTCTGTCACTGTAGGGAAATGAAAGCTCAGAGAGGGGACATCCCTCTGTCCCTCTCACACTGCACAACCTGACCCTCCCTCCCAGGTACACAGTCCCTAGCCAGCAGCTTGCTGTCTGTCCCTTGGCCAGGGATTTCTGGATCAGAGGGGCTGTCTGTTGCTGACCAGAGCCCTGATTGACACAAGCGGCTGGTAAGTAGCAGAGTCTGGAGAAAGGCCCAGTGCTTTTCAATGGCTTGGAAACCGCTCAGAACCTGGGCAGATCAAGGGGCCCACGCCCCAGCTGCTGCACGATGCCCAAGGCAGGCGAGATGGAGCAGCAAAGCCTGCATGGGAGTTAGCAGCATCTGTCTCCTCTGACATGGGACATCAGGAATGTGGAATAGCCTCAGCAAGTGTGTGCCTGCCAGGGATGCTGCCAGGGAGGAGACGCAGGGTGGGCAGCTGAGTTCCTCTTGGCCCTCAGGAGATATTGTACCAGGCAGCAGTTGCGTCTGTCACTCTGAGTGACCCGATTGTGGCCTTCAATGTGCAGAGGGCCTGTTGGGAACTAGAGGTGCCACCTAGCTCTTTATGGAACCCCACATTTTTTGGAGTGCTGGATTTCAAACCCAAGGCTTTGTATATGCCTAGCTAAGTCCTCTATCACTGAGCTATTCTAAGCTCAGGGTGGTTTTGTTTTGCTTTTTTTTTGTTTTTGGTACTGAGATTGAACCCAGCTACCACTGAGCTACATTGTCAGTCTTTATTTTTTGAGACATGGTCTCCCTAAATTGTCCAGGCTGATCTTAAACTTGCAACCCTCCTGCCTCAGCTGCCCATGTAGCTGGAAGGTATTTCCCCACACCTCGAACATTCCTCCATTTGGTCACCATTCACTGGTGGTGAGGGAGAGCTTTGGCTGAGGGAAACCACTGGGTTGGCTGAGTCTGGTCCCACAGTGGGCTCATGGTGGAGCATCTACATAGTTTTATTCCAACCCCTCTCCACTCCCTTTTCCCAGGCATGTGTGAGGGAGGGCTCCTGTCCTGTGACTAGCTGCTCTGGTGAGGCATTGGTTACTGATCTGTAGCTGCCAATGGGGGACTTTAAGTCTGGGAATGGGGCTGTCAGAAAGTTTGTCCGAGGGAGCCAGTGCAGAAAGGACCATAAGCCAAGAGCTGCTTTGGGATCCTGCTCTGGAACTATCTGCATGGGAATAGGGAGCAAAAAGGATGCCGGAGAGCTTGGGCTGGGCAGGGGGTGATTCAGGGTCACAAAGCTTAAACCTCAGTGAATTACTGCAGCATAAGCCACGTGGCTCCGCAGCACGCCCTTCCCAGTGGTCAGGACTCCACGCCCTGGGAGGTGGGCAGAGCAGGAGTGCTCCATTCCTCAGGTGAATGTGACCATCAGTGAAGTGACAGTGCTGGCCTCAGGTACCAAAGCTGGACACTTAAAAAAAAAGTGACAGGATTTTGTCCTCCTGGCTCCAAATCCAGTGCCATCTGTGCCCCATGAGGGAAGACAGTTCCTGAGGGAAACAAGGTGCTCAGGGTGTTCCCCCTATTCTCCGACCCATTGTCACTCAGATGCAGTGCCCTGGAGGAGGTACCAGGTTTGGGGGAGATTGGTGGTACAGACTGGGACATAGTGAGCCAGAGAGTACCTGGGAGCCTCAGCACTGGGAGAAGCTGCTCTCTTCCCAAGCTGCTGCTGTTTTCCAGTGCGGTCCCCTGCTGAGGACTCAGCCTCACACTCTTATGTCCAGTCTCTTGGACCCTAAATGTACTTTGAGCCACCACTCCCTAGCAGCCAGTAGGAACAATGCAGGCAGATGTTATAGAGCAGTCCTTTTCTAGGCTTGAGGTCTGCAGGAACAGGGTAAAGCACCAAGCACTGGACCCGGTACACCTCAGGCTTCTCTATGGCCTACCTTCAGATTGAGGGGCTGGGGCACAGGAGGAACTGGCAGAACAGAGCCTTAGAAGAGTTCAGGCTCAGAGGTCTGGGAAGCTGATCTCTTTGAGAGCAGGTCTTTGGAGAGGGCTGTGACAGCCTCTCCAGCAAAAGACTACGCAAGCCAGGACAGCTGCAGTCCAGCTAGGCGGCAACCAGCTGCTGCCTGGGAGACTGGCCAGGGCGGGGCGGGATGGGCACAGCCCCCGAAACCCCCCAGCATAAGTCTGCAGAGCGTGGGAGCAGGCAGCGGCTGGAGGGTCGGTTTCAGGTTTTCATGCTGTGTCAACAGGCGCTTTGGTTAATGCTGAGCAGATGGGGCAGGGGGTGACCAGCTCCCTGGGGACAGCTTTGCCAGTGCAGAACCAGGCTCCTGTCCTGTGGACGATACAGCGTGTGTGCCTCTGCCGGAGAATATACCCACACCGCTGTCTACACAAGACAGTACTGCTAGGACACAGATGGACAGGTGTACATAGGCTCCTGTCTACCCTGGGACAGCAATCCCAAGCCTGGCCACAGCCCCCAGTCTGTGTCTCCAGGGCATTATGCCCAGCTTGGGGATCCCTGCATCTTATCCCCCATCTATGCCCCTTGTGGGAGACACCAGGCACACAAAGATTTATTTCAAAAACAATAATTTATAAAAGGTCATCTGGTCCTGTGCTTCTGGCAGGTTTCCAGTCTCCCAGGGGCATGAGAACCAATGCTCTTTCCACCAAGATACTGGGACAAGCAGGGGGGCAGGGCAGAGGGGACTTGGGGAAATGGAGGTCAGAGGTCTTTAACCTCTCGTGTTGTGGAGCAGGCAGGGTAGGACAGCAGCATTTCTGTGGCCAGGCCAGCCAAGCCCAGGAGCAGGAACTGAGTGCCAAAGTCAAGACCCTGAGAGGGCACTGGCACCTCAACTCCAAGGTGCAGGCAGGATGTTGGGACATGGGCGGACTCTGGGCTGGGAACCAAAGACAGAGCAGAAGCTTTAGTTAGGCACCGGAGGATGTCCCAGACGCACCTTCCCAAAGGGAACCAGCCAGGTGTGGTGGTACAGGTCTGTAATCCCAGCACTCCAGAGACCAAGGCAGGAGGACAGCTCTGAGTTCAAGGCCAGACTGAACTACATGCTAAGCCTGGACTACATAGTGAGACTCTCTCAAATGAACACAACACAACCAAACCAAACCAAAGGAGACCCAGAGGTATGGGATGGCACTCTTGACAGGTCTCTGGGGCTGCCAAAGTCAAATGCTGTGTCAGGTATGGCTGAGCCAGGTGGCCCAAGGCCACTGGCCTACCTGCCCAAATAACTTCATGCTGCTGGTCATGTCTGTACTCCAGGGAAGGGGAAGGGGTTTGGTCCCAGTGGCAGGGGGTCATGGCTGAAGACAGAATCACTGGAGGAGCAGGTACTGCTGGCATCCCCACCAGAAGGGGAGTAGGGTCCAAAGGTCAGGCGGAGGTCAAGGTACTGCAGGGAAAAGAGCTGATCAGTCCCGGAGCCAGCCCAGTGAGATGCTCCAGTCCATACAGCCAGGTGCCAGGAGGCCTGGGAGATCTGGCAGAGGGAGGTCGTGGGACAGGATGGGAGCAGTACCTCCTCGGAGACAGCCAGCAGGACTTTGTCCAGTGCTTCCACCAGCTGCTTGAAAGTGGGCCTCTGAGAGGGCGCCGCATGCCAGCACTCACGCATCAGACCGTACCTGGCAGAGGTGGGAGGGGGTGGTCAGAGGAGCCTCAGGCCCTGGGGTGGGGGAGGTTACTAGGTCCTAGGGGATGAAGAGGCATAGAGTTAGCTCAGTGGCACAAGCCTGGTAAGTATGGGGTTGTGAGTTTAATCCCTGGTACCCAAAAAGAGGGGGGAGGCTAGGGATATGGCTCAGTGGCACAGTGCCTGCCTGGCAAGCATGTAGTCCTGAGTTTGATTCCAGTATCCCAAAAAAGAAAAAAAAAAATGGGAGAGAGAGAGATAGGTGAGTCCACTGGCGGGAGGACACAGGAGCCCCAGGCTAGGACTCCTCACTGGCCAGAGAGGGAAGAGGAGATAGCAGAAGCCCTGAGTCAGTGCTGCCCATAAGCCAGTGTCAGGGCAGGGGGCAAAGACTGCAAATGGGGAAGGGCGGGACAATGCCTCACAGTTCCGGGGGGCAGGTGGGGGGCCGATCCATCCGATGCCCTTCCCGCAACAGTGAGAACAGCTCTTCCACAGGGATGCCAGGATATGGGGAGCCCCCGAGTGTGAAGATCTCCCAGAGCAGGATCCCAAATGACCACCTGGAGGCAGGACCACAGCTCAGAAGGGCCCAGCTTCCCTCCTAGCTCTTGGAGGCTGGGACAGGGGACACTGCAGCATAATCTACTACAGGGGGACGGGGAGGACAGAGATTGGAGTCTGACCCCACTCAGGCCTGATGTGACGAGGCCCTTTTCCTTTCATAGCTTAGTCTGGGTTTGACAGGATAATAGACAATTTCCCCCCTGGTTTCTTGAGAGGGTCTTGCTGTGTAGTTTAGGCTGGCCTTGAACTCATGGTGATCCTCCTGCTTTAGCCTCCCAAGTGCTGGCATTACAGGCGCACACCACCATGCCTAGTAAGAACAGACATTCTTGTTCTGATAGTCTCAACTCTTCTCTGGGACCTGACCTACAGGCCATGTTTCTACAGGCTCATTTGTGTTTCTTCATTGAATCCCCTGTAACTCTGAAAGAACACTTGACTGCAGATGTTGGATCTTGGCAAGTGCCTTGCCCTTTCTGTGGGGTAGGACAGTGACTGCTGGCAGGCGTGCCAGACCTGTGCTTCCAGGACTCACACATCACTCTGGTGTGTGTACACGCGATCAAACAAGGCCTCTGGTGCCATCCACTTAACCGGCAGGCGGCCCTGGCAGGGAGAAGAAGGGCATTGTGTTGAGTTGCATGGGTTTTGCTCCCCACCCCATCCCCACAGCTCGGCCCAGCCTTTCTCACGTTGCTGGTTTTCTTGTAGTAATCAATGTGGTGGACACCACGGGCCAGCCCGAAGTCAGCAATCTTCATGACATTATCCTCAGTCACCAGCACATTGCGGGCAGCCAGGTCCCGGTGGATGCACTGGAGGCAGGCCGGGCAGGAGACAGGAAGCCGATTTAGGTTTATGAGCCCCCACAGCTGGTAGCTGTGCCCACACCATTCCACAGTAAGCCTGGGTGCTGGGCTCATCCACCACTTTACAGGTAAAGAGAAAGTCAAGATTCAGGAAAGGAAAACTCGTGGCATCTAACTTCAAGAGCCCACAGCCTGTTTGCAGCAGAGCTCCCCTCCCCTGCCTGTGGGCTGGGGATCAGTGAGGAATGAATGCAGACCCGCAGGGCTGGCTGCATCAGGATTGGGGGGGGGGGTGTCCTGTAGTAGGACTAGTCCTGTAGATAGACTAGTGAAAGACAGGAAAAAGAAAAGTTGGGGCCAGTTCAGGCCCCCAGCATGAGAGTGTGGAGATGGAGGAGTTAGGAGTCCACACCTTCCGTGACTCCAGATACTGCATGCCTCGGGCCACCTGGTAGGCACAGGAGACCAGAGCGGGGAAGGACAGGGGCCCCTCGCTGCTCCGTGGCCCATCAGGGCTGAGGTCAGGGCCTGGAGGACGCCGGGCACGAAGGAACTCCCGCAGGTTGCCCTTGGCAGCACACTCCACGATCACATACAGGGGCCCTAGGTGGGAGGCCGGGGCGGAGGCCAGGGAGGCTGTTGAGGCTATGGCCCACACCCCAACTACCCCACGGCCGACCTGGCCCCTGCCCCACCTTCCTGGGTGCAGACACCCAGCAGGTTGATGATATTCTTGTGTCGGCCAATGAGCTTCATCACTTCCATCTCAGAGACCAGGTCTGCTAAGTCCTTGTCAGAGGCATTGTCTGTAAAGGCAACAGCGGGGTTGAGGAAGCTGCCTGAGGCAGGAAAGGCTGCAGGACTGGGCACAGGTCACAGAGCATGGGACCAGGCTGTGTAGCCTTAAAATGTTTCTGAACCTCTCTGAAACTCAGGGTTGAGTTGAACAAAACAGAACAATAGATCACACCCTACTTCCTATAGCAGTGGCAAGAATACCAGATTAAGGGTCTGAAAGACGTAAGCCTTTTAGAGTGCGCACCCAGGAAATGAGGGCAATGGGGAAGCTCTCTGAGCAGGAAGGAAGCTGCATCTGGAGAGGCTGGCGCTAGTCCCCCATCAGGGTGAGCTCCTAGGGGCAGGAAGCAGGCTGGCGCCCTGGAGGGTCAGACCTGGACCTGGTGTCCATCTGGCCTGGGAATTCAGGGAGCCGCTGGCAAGGCACAGCTGGAAGAAGCTGGCAAGAAGGCTGCTCTGGCTTCTCTCAAGGAGTCTGAGGATCAGAGACTGGGCCCCCAGGGTTGACCTGTGGCCCTGGGCAATGACATAACACTTCCCTCATTCACACACCAGTATCATAAAGCATATTTCTCAATCCCTGCCTCCCAGAAAATGCCAGGTGGCCCCAGCTGTGCAGATAGGAGGGAGAGAGAGCATGGTTTGAGCCATTCTTGCAGAGGGGGCTCGGGGACTTCAGCAAAAGGCTCCAATGGGCAGCCTCCAAGCGTTCTGCAGAACACAGGGCTGCTGCTTGTGTTCTGGGGCTTTCACCTAGAAGGCTCTTCTGTGCCTAGGACAGATCTAGAAATGATCCAAGGGGACTGAGGTTGTGTTTAGGGGGAACCACAGGGTGGTTAGCCTATGAGGCTAACAAGGAGGCTGAGGCTGACTGGCATAGGCAATAGCTAAAGGGGGAAACTAGGCTCCAGCCACCCCAAATCTTCATAGTCACTGGCATGTCCCATGAACCACAGGGTAAGATGTAGGGGCTAGTATTTACCCCATGTGACAAAAGGAAAGTCAGGCTCAGGAGTGACTTGGCAAGGTCAGCAGCAGAGACAGATCACAAGCCCAAAGTGACATGCTGTAGCCTCTCCCAGCCCCCACTGCTCAGATAACTGGAGCCCCTTCTGTGAGCCCCAGTGCCTCAGTGCCACCCCCCACCAGGAGACCACACACACCTTTGAGCATCTTGACAGCCACGGTGCTTGTCTGGTCAGGTTGGGCAGGATCCATGCCGACAGCCTCTGCCCGCACCACCTGCCCAAAGCAGCCCTCACCTAGGGGCTTCCCGAGCACCAGCCTGCGAAGAAGGAGGCCTACACTTCAGACCTCTGGGGTTCACTGCCCAGCTGGCATCTTCACTCTCTTTCTGCTCAGTGTACCTGTCCCGGGGGAACTCCCACAGTGGGTCCAGAGGTAGGTCAAGATTCACGAGACCAGCAAGCAAGGGGGGGCCACTGGAGGAGAGCCGGACACCTCGAACCAGGGATGAGCTTGACTTGCCAGAGGAGCCGGACTCCAGGGAGAACTGCAAAGTGAAGGACTTGGCTCTGCCTGTGGGGGTCAGGCTGAGAGCCTTATGGGGGGTGGGTGTGGGAGACGGGGTGGGTACCTGTCGGCCCAAAGGGAAGCGGGACAACTTTTGCACAGTGGCGGGCTGGCGGGAATGCTGGCTGTGGAGTGCCTGCCCACGATACAGCCCGGCCAGCAGCAGCAGCACAGCCAAAGCCAGGGAGCCCGACGAATACAGAATGATGTCTGTATACCTAACCTCGGACGCTGCTGCTGTCCTGGTGGGGTCTTCCTCTGCCCTCACAGATAGGACACACACAATCAAGAAAAACACTGGTCAGTGGTCAGACCTGCTAGGCCCTGCCCCACCGCAGGTCCTCACAGTTGCCAACACACACAGTGACACACACCAAGAAACCTGCGAGTGTAAGCAGCAGCCCACGTGCCTGTGCCCCACAGCAGCGGTGGCAAAACTATGGCACTGCGTGTCCTTTGTTTTTCTTTTAAAACAAAAGATGTTAATGTATAAGCTGCTTTTTCTAAACTACAACCTCAGTATTGAGCTTTAATTGCAGTTTAATTACTTTGCAATAAATAAGTGGATTTTGGAAAGCTTTTGTAAATAAGGAGGGGAAAAGAGGTTGAAGGGAGGAGAGAAGGAGAAAAAGAAGCAATATGCATTGCATACAAGAACAAATTCCCTGGGGCTGGGGATTTAGCTCAGCGGCATAAGCACCTGCCTTGCAAGCAGGCAGTCGTGAGTTCGATCCCTGGTACCAATAAAAAGAAAAAAGACAAAAAAAAAAAAAAAAGAACAAATTCCCTATAATGCATGTGATCACTGCGCATATCTAATATGTACCAACAAAAAAAAGAAAAGAAACAAAAGGGGGTTTGGGGTTGTAGTTTGGGCACTTGTCTCTAAAAGGTTTGCCATCAGTGCGCTAGAAGGTCACACATGATCACACACAGAAGCAAACACATAAATCCCACCTAGGGGTGCAGCTCAGTGGTACACGTGTCTGGCACACATGAGGCTCCAGGTTTAATCCCAGTACCACAAATATATGCAATTGCAAATCCACACACCACTTCCAGACCCCACAGGCCAGGAGGACAGGCCGCAGCCCACTGCCAAGCCACAGTGAAATCCTGCAGCCTCTCCTGCCTCTCAGGGGCTCACCTGGCAGCACCGTGAGCCAGGCTGACTGGTAGGAGAGGCCAATGGAGTTGCCTGCCAGGCAGGTGTACTCGCCTGCGTCCTCGGCTGACACATTCCGTAGGTACAGGACTTCCACCTCGGAGCTATTGATGTCTGCTGTCTAGGGACAAGGCAGGCACTCAGGTGATATCAGGGCCTGTTGCTGTAGAATGGCCAAAGGGCGGCTGGGGACCTTCCCACCCAGCCAGTTTGGAGATGGGAATGGTACCTTTAGGACCTGGACGTAGGGGAAGCCATCGGCACCGAAGCTGCTGCCATTGATGACGATGTGCTTCAGCCATTGGATGTGGGGCTGGGCATCGCTGTACACCTTGCACAGTAGCTCCACATCGCTGCCTGCCACAGCTGTGGTGTTGGCTGGAAGCCCCGCCTGCAGGATGGGCCGGTGCGGGGACCGCTCTGGGGGCCAGGCCAGGCCGTCAACCCTCACCAGTGGTACCCACAGAAGCGTCCTGTTTCCTTGCCTCCAGTCATCCCCCACCTTAAGGGAGGGACCCTCTGGATCTACAGCTCAGACTACATCCATCTCTTGCTTACCCTGCTTAACTCTCTGTGGCTGTCCACTGGCTTTTGGTCCAAGACAACTTCTCAGCTAATACTAATACTCAAGAGGGGAGTCTCCATCTCCTAATGCCCCACATAAATGCTGCATCCCAGCAATGCACCTCCTTACAGATGCACTGCATTCTTCATGTTCAGGGCCTCAACTCAGCCTGGCCCTCTGATTGTATGCTTTGTTCACCTTTCTTCTATGAGACTCGGGTCCTCCAGGTCCACGTCCCCTGTGCTTCCCTCTGACCCACATGATCACTCTGAGTTACTCAATTCATCTAAAACCAAGTCCTCTTTAGACACCCTCCCTCCCACAGGCTGAACTGAGCCCAAGACAGGTCAGTCCCCCCCTCCACCATCACCCCTGCCCCTGCCCATCCGCTCACCCAGCACATCCAGTAAATAGCTGTAACGGATGCTGCCCAAAGGGTTCTCCACAAGGCAGGTGTACGTGCCACGATCCGAGGGTACCACACTTTCCATCACCAGGCTCCAGTGCTGGTGGCGCAGCTGAGGGTGGAAGGGATATCCCTATGGGCCCTCCAACCCATGTCTACCCAGGAAAGTGGGGCAGGAGGAGACTAGATCCTGCCCACAGAATTCTCACACTACCGAGGCCTCTAGGGGTCATTCCAAGGCCAGGGATCTCAGGCCAAGAAAAGTGCCTTGAGCCCTACTTTTGAGTCTTAGCTCTATCTCTCTGTACTTGTGCCATCTCAGGCCAGTATCTGCCTTCTCATGCTAGCATGGAATTGACCCTGTAGGGTCTTATCCTGAGAATGAAGTGCTGAAGCTTATCGATACCTACTAGTTAATGATACCTTCTACTTTACAAATGAAATTGCTGAGCTGGATGTAGTGGTGCAAGGCTGTAATCCCAGCACTAGGGAGGCTGAGGCAAGTAGATCATTGCGAGTTTGAGACCAGCCTGGGCTACAAAGAGAGCTCAAGGCCAGCTTGAATGCGTAATCTCAAAAAGACAAAAAAAAAAAAAAAAAAAAAAAGCCTTGCTAAGACCAAGAGGTTAAAAATCACTCGCCAGGGTAGCAGTGTGGGAACTTGTCAGGCTGGCCTCAAAATCACTATCATCCTGCCTCAGTCTCCCTCAAGCTGGGATTATAGGAATAGTGCCACTACGCCTGGTTTGCAGAGTGGGGTAGGCTACTGAATCCTAGCTGCCCAGATCTACAGTCCAGGACTGAAGGGCCCCACAATTGTCAGCCTCATTAGATTTTACACATATGAAAGGGCCAGGTGGGGCAATGTAAAAGGGCTGGCAGACAATCTCTGAAGGCAAGACTCACTCGAATGCCCCCAATGCGATTCTCCCCATGGAAAGCGTGTCCATCTTTGAGCCAGTGGATGGTGGGCATGGGGTTGCCTGCAGCTGGACAGCGGAACTTAACGGTGTTCCCAGCAGGTACTGCATGCAATTTTTTCTCCATACGCTGGGGATGTGTCCAGTAAGGTGCTGGAAGGGGAGGAAGTATTATTTAGTGCCCCCAAAATGACCACCAGGTCCCACACAAATCTCTTCAGTGGGGACGTGAGTCTTTAGCAACTCAGACCAACCTTGCTGGAGGTAAATATGCCCATTTGAGGAGCCTCTGTTGACCTTGGGGTCTTCATCATCATTGCTTGGAGTCAAGGAATCTACATTAGGGACAGAGGGAGTTCCAAGAAGGGGTAGTCTCTCCTTGGCATCCCTTCACCCTAAGCCATCCCCTCTTACCATCTGCAACCAAGGTGAGATTGTGTAGGACAATCATGGAGCTGCGTGCCAGACAGAGGTAGTGGCCAGCATCCTCCGGCAGGAAGGCAGCAATCTCTAGCCGGCCCCTCCAGCTCCGTACCCGGCCAGCAGGTGCCAGGCGGCTACCCTCCTTGTACCAGTGGCCACCACGCTCACCCAGCCCACAGCACAGCCGCACAGGCTGTCCAAGGGCAATGGTCAACTCCTGCTCTTGTTGCTCTAGGCTGGGGGCCAGGCAGGGCTCTATGGGTAGACAGCAGAAGTTAGTGAGCCCCTCAGTTCCATCTGAGAGCCCCCTGCACCCAACAACATGCTGCACGAGCACTTCAACACAGGCTTGCACAAGCTGCTGTCCCTCTGACAACATAACCACATGCCAATGCACAGGGCTAAAGTCACAACTTCTGGGGCAGGTCACACACATGGTACTTGGCACACATGCTAGACATATCACTGCTCAAGACACACACACACATGCACACAGGGCACATGCTATAGGTGTTATGCACAGGACACACGTCCTACTTCTGGGATATATCACACTCATAGTGCACATACCACACGTGCTGCCTGGCCCTCCACGCACACACCCAATGCACAACACATACACACCACACACACTCAGCCAAGAGGCTCACCACCAACTCTGCAGCCCAGCTTGGAGCCCTGCACTCTGCAAGCCCAGTCTTCTCTTGTAGACAGAGATAGGTAGATGTTGGCTGGGAGCCAGATAATGAATCTCTGCTCGAGCCCTGCCCGCTGCCACCTTCTCAGGGGCCAGGACCAGGATCCTCTCCAGCTCTGCTTAGCTAGCAGCCCCATGCTGGTGTCCACACAGCCCACCCCGCCACCCTCTCCCACCGCAGAGGCCATACCCAGGTCCATTTCCTCAGAGGCCTCAAAGGACAAGGCTGGAGCCCCATGTGGCCCTAGCAGGACCCCCAATAAAGCCAACAGCAGCCGCATCTCCTTCCTGCTCGTCTCAGGGACTCAGGCTGGAATTCCCACTGACTGTCCTCCTAAAATAGGGAGGAAAAAGAGCTCACACTACTCATGTCTCCATTGGCGCTCTTCTCTGATTTTGTAGATGAGGAAACTGAGGCAGGAAGTGGTCAGCAGGCTCATCCAACCCCCTACCCAGGCTGCAGCAGGATGGACATTGGGTTTATCTGTGCTGTTGCCAGAGCCCAAGGCCTCCCCACAGGAGGTTCTGCAGGGGGCCGAGGTTGGGCTTCCTCCTCTCCTTGGGTCCTGCTGAGACCCTGGCATGAGTTCACACAAAGCAGTTTTGGGATTCTTTCCTTGGAAGGAGGCAGGGATGGCAACACAGCCTCTCCTCGCTCTCAGCACACATCATTTAGTTTTTGCTGAATAAATGAATTTATTGCTGAAGAATGGGGGGGTATATGAAATATAATACAAGCCAAACCTCAGCATCTGGATGCTATCTAAGCTGACCTCCACTCTTTATGACATTACTGTCATTTCCACATTCAGCTTGGGATCCCTCCAGTGGCTGAGTGCTCATAACTAACAGGGTAGTACATTCCAGGTCAAGCAGGACATTCTCCCTCACTCTAAACCAGCAATGCATCCCAAAGACACTACTGCCTTTTGGGTCAGAGTGCCACCTAAAGCAAAGTTTTTTTTTTTTTTTTTTTTTTAATGGGTTTGTTTGTTTCTTTTCGTTTTCTTTTGTTTTTTGAGATAGAGTCTCCTATGCAGTTCAGACTATGTAGCCCAAACCAGGCTAGAATCTACAACTATTCTCTTGTCTCTGCCCCATGAGTGCTGGAATCACAGGCATGTGCTTTTACTCCTGGCAATGTGTGTGTGTGTGTGTGTGTGTGTGTGTGTGTGTGTGTGTGTGTGTGTTTTCAGTGCTGGTGGATTGAATCCAGGGCTTAGCAAATATTAGGCAAGCGCTTTGTCACTGAACTACATTGCAATCCATTTTAAATTTTTTATTTTGAAACAGCGTCTTTCTAATTTGTCCAGGCCAGCAACAAACTTGATTCTCCTGCCTCAGCCTCCTGAATAGCTGGTATTACAGTTGCATATCACACTCGGTTACTAGGATTTTGTTTGGTTTTGTTTTGTGGCCACCCTAGGAAGGAACCTAGGGCCTTGCATATGCCAGGCAAGTGGTCTACCATTGAGCTACACCTCCAGTCTTATTTTATAAAGAATGTAGATTCTGCTAGAGTGGTGGTACACACCTGTAATCCTAGCACTTGGGATGCTGAGGCAGGATGATTGCTGTGAGTTCAGGGCCAGCCTGGGCTACAAAAGTGAGTTTGAGGCTGGCCTCAACTGTACAGTAAAACCCTGTTTCAAAACAAGTGAAGGAAAAAATAAAGTCTATTCTAAGTGTCAGACTGCCAAATTCAAATCCTAACTCTTACCAACTTGCAAGTCCCTGTCTCTGTCCTGCTCTGGGTTACTATCCTTACAGGACTGCTTCGAGGACAAAACAACAAAGTATCTGGCTGCATGCAATGTTAGAACAATGTTTCCCCCACTACTTTCCCAAAGGCTATCAATCTGTGGCTGCCCCAGGCCAGTCATCCCAGGTCTGTAACCATTCCTGTCCGGTATTATATACACACCTAATCCTCCTGTTACCCTTTTCCAAATGTCTCTGTGCTCCGAATGGGGCAGTCAGAACTGAGTCTCAGTTTAAGCAGGAGAATAAGTGACACAGATAGGACCAGGGTCCTACTGACTGCTTACTTACTACCCAGGGCCATACGATAGCCAAGAGGGACAAGTGTCTTTGAATCAGAGCATGATTCTGTTTGGTTTGTTGTTTTGTTTTTTGAGACAAGAGTCTTGTGAGTCTTGCTATGCAGTTCAGCCCTTTAACTGGAATCAATCCTTTGCCTCAGCCTCCAGAGTGCTGGGATCACAGGTGCGTGCCACCACACCCAGTGAGAGCAGGATTCTTATTCCTTTTTTTTTTTTTTTTTTTTTTTTTTTTTTTGTCTTTTTCATTTTTATCGGTACCAGGGATCGAACCCACGACTGCCTGCTTGCAAGGCAGGCGCTTATGCCGCTGAGCTAAATCCCCAGCCCGAGAGCAGGATTCTTAAAAGGTGTGTTCCATACTCTACCAAACTGGGAACCTCTTCCAGTAAGTCATTACACTCCTCTTTTCAGCTGCTGCCACCACACTTTCAGTCCATCCTGCCTTCTCAGTGAGAGTTGATCCTGCCTCCTACCCCTACCCAGGTCGGGATTATCTCTTGTTTGGAGAGTTGTCAAATTTCCCTTAGGCTTTTCAGTTTCCACCTTAAGTAGGGCTTTAAAAAATCTGCAGTGTCACCTCCTCCACCACAGTTTACAAGGCCATAGGGCTAAACGTGTCCAGCAGGATCCAGTCCACACTGTTTTCCCTGCACCCTGGGCCTCCCTCACCATCCCTCCCCGACGGTCACACTGTCTCTTCAGCCTCCCCAGCAGCTTTAAAAACCGTGCCCGTTTGCTCTCTTGCATATTCCTCTGTGCTTCTCTTTCTCTCCTTCATCTTCCTAGCTCTGATACCAAGACTCAGCCCAGCCCAGCCCCAGCTTCGTTGTCTCCTCTGAAACACCCTCTAGCACACTGTGCTAAGCACAGAGGGTAACTCTCGCCCCGTAGCTCCGGCTAGGAGTGGAGGAGGAAGGGCCCATGGATTCATTCCCAACCCCAGGTTGCCCTGATCTGATAACCTAGGAGTCCTTAGGGGGTCCTAGGGCCAGATCCTGGAGTCTGACAGTTCTGGGTCCCCAGCCTCCCGCGCTCCCGCGCTTGAGGACCCTGCGCAAGTGACTGAACTTCTAGGAACGTCAGCGTCCCCTTATCTAAGACCCGCGCGCAGACGATCATTGCTCAAGGACCAGTGCGCTCTTCCCCTGCCTTTACCAGGTCACCCTCCTGGGGAGGCGCGAGGCAGCGGGTCTCCCATGCGGAGCAGCGGAGACAGCTGGCCCGCTCCTGCCCTGGTGGGCAATAAGTAACCAGCTCCGCGGCCAGGGTGCTCTTTGGACGCAGCGGGACAAAAGGCCCTGTGTGCACTGCAGGTTACTGATTTACCGCCCCTCCGCCTTCGCATCCCCGCTGAGCGGACGCCCAGGTGCCCCGTGCTGGGCGGGGGCTGCCCTCCGGAGCCACGCCGCCGCTCGCCCCCTGGCGGCGGGCCCCGGCTCAGCCAGAGCCTGCGTGGCGTCCCTCTGGGGACAGAGTCCCGGACTCACCTGGCTCCTCGGCAATCTCGCTCCTAGCTCTGGCTGCCGCGATCCCGGTCCCAGCGGGGTCTGCAGCCCCGGAGCTCCTCGGCCCCAGTGGGAGTCAGGAATGCACCCGCCAAGGCGGCGTGGCCGCCAGGCCCCGCCCTCCTCGGGCCCGCCCCGCCCCGCCTGGACCAGCTCTATCTGGGGAGGAGGGCTCTGGGCCACCCAGTCCCCGCCCCGCCCCAGCCCAGCTCCCAAACCCGCCGGCTCCCGAATCCGGCCGTGCTCCGTGACCGACTAGGTCATTCGGTGTTGGGACCCTGCACAGTTTACTATGCGACCTTTCAGTTTCGCCTCTTTCGCCCCTCTATGGGCCCTGACCAGGCTCCCAAATTCTAGTCCGCTGCCTGCTTTCTTCCTTGCGGTTCACCATTCTGGGAATGAGACGTTGGCCCAGTCTGCCTCCCCTGTCTTCTGTGCAGTCTCTGTAGCGGCGGCTACGAGAACTCTTTTTCATTTATTTCCTGAGCAACCTTCAGAGTGATATTTAAAATACAAATTGGTAGCCCATGCCTGGAATCACAGCAGTTGGGAAACTGAGGTAAGAGGATCTCCGAAAGTTTGAGGCCAGCCTAAATTACATGGCAAGATCTTGTCTCACCGCCACCCCCAAATCGGACTGTATCAACCACCTCTTTATTTGTTGTTTCATTTGTTCTCATAGCTCTTTATAAAGATAAATTTATTTATGGAGACAAGGTCTCGCTATGTAGTTCAGGCCACTAACTCACATTCTCCTGCCTCAGCCTCCAGAGTGCTGGGATTACAGGCCTGCACCACTGTGCCTGGCTTAATCCAGGTAGACTTTGATCATGACATGGTCCCCATTCACATCTGCAGATGCAGCCTCCGTTCACTTCTGCTGCCACCCACCAGTCTCTGTTTGTGGGTGGCCTTTCCTCTTAATATTAGGTGTCAGCTCATTTGCTCTGGGAAGCCCTCCGCACTTCCTCTGGATGCCTTCTTCCTTGTGAGGATACAGAAAGCTGCAGAGTGAAGTGGTCCCCTGTGCAGACTGCAGGGCTGGGCTGCTGGGCTCAGACTTCAGCACCGCCACACATACCCTTGGCAGAGGACTCCATTTGTCTTCATGTTCTCAATGGTAAAAAGGGCACACGCTAGTACTGTTCTCAAGTTCCTGCAAAAAGCAGGGTTCACATGTTATTATGTGATTACAGTGGTGCCTTGGTTCACAGATTTAATCCTTTCTATGATTCTGGTGGCCAACTGACCGAGAACTGAATCAAATTCAGTGGTTAGGTTCCATGTTGACCTTATGGGGACATTCGATTGGGTTTCATCCACAGAATAGTGGAATGAATTAAGTTCATGAACTGAGGTACAGTTGTTTTTGTGACCCATTATTTTTCAACACATTGCCAGAATTGTAACAGAATGGTTGATTATGTAAACAGGGAAATGTTAAGATCTTAGAAAGTCAGAACTGCCAGCCTCACCTGTACATGTCCAGTGCCTGGTGCATCGTTGGTGCCCCCCACATAGTTCCACTCTACCTTGGCTCAGGTCTGATGCACCTCTATGTCTTTGTTTTTAGCACCTAGGCAGTGACAAATCTAGGGGACCAGGTTCTGCACCCCTCTCCTGAAGTCCCTGCCACTGCTCCTCTGAGGGCTCCTTGGGATGATGGCATATAAATGTTTGGGTCTCAGACCTAGCTCCTGGCTCCCCCTTTGAGGGGTGCATCTCGCTCTGCAGCAACTGTTTTGGTCTTGTTTTGGTGCTGGGGATCTAACCCAGGGCTCCCTCCGCATTGTTATACAGAGAAGTCTATGTCTTTCTCCCCTGGTTCCCAACGGGTAGAGGCACTGCTTTGCATAACTAAAAGGCCCATTAAAGCATTAAATTTTTTTCCCGTATTTCCTTCTCAAACAAAAGAATGGACTCCTCCCAAAGATAGGTCAGAAAATCACTGATTATGTTTTTAAAAACAGTTTATCTGGATCCCCTCCTCCACAGTCCGGTCTCACTGGCTATCCCAGGGAGAATACAGCACCAGCCCTGGGAGCTGCCATCCAGCAGCAGCCTCTTCAGGCTGCGAGAGAGGCTGAGCTCTCTGCTGTGGCCTTCTGCTGGCCCCCCTTGCTGACCTGGGTTGCCCAGGGCAGGGTAAGCTACCACTACTGGCAGGAGCTGAACCCGCGACATGGTCTTTATTTAAATTGCAAGGCATTTCCCAGGCAAACTAGAGATTTGAAGTATGGCAGCCTCTTGTTGCAAGATCCTCATGTCCAAAAAAAAAAAAAAAAGATCCTCATGTCCGTCAGACTTCGAGCCTGAAACCCCAGGCTCCAGCCAGATAACATCCCTTCCTCTTGCCGGGGGCAAGGGGGGGTGTCCATACCCACAGCCTCTGGAACTGACCCTCTGCATTCATTGACTCCTTCAGGGAAGGTACTTATTGGAATCCAGTTATGCGGCGTGCACTGCTTTCTATCCTGGAGAGAAAGCAGTCAATGAGACCACACCTGTGGGCAGATAATCGAACAGTTAGGAGTCAGCGGTGAGGAACTTCTGTCACTGTCCCATTGTCTTGCTAACATGCTGTCTGTTCAGAAACATCTGCAGTCTGTTCCTTAGAGACATTCCGAATCTTTCCTGTGACCATGATGCCTCTGAACGCAGCCAATCTTGTCTAAGTATCTCAGCAGAGGTAAAAGCCTGCTATCCTAAAATCATGCTTGCAGCTTGTCTCAGTTTCTTCATCCAGAAAGTGGGCACACTTGCAGCTTCTTTCTTCTCTGGAATATTGGAGGAAGTGAATTAGATGGAAATGGGTTTCACCAAACAAAGGAAAAAGTCCTTGGGCTGGGGATTTAACTCAACGGTGTACGTACCTCCCTGGCAAGCACGAGGTTGTGAGTTCAATCCTTGGTACCAAGAACAAAAGAAAAAGAAAAAATCCTTGCCTTGGTTGAGCTCTTGTCATGTGCCAGACACCCCATCACAGTAAGTGTTGTATTTGCCTTATATGCTTTGAGCCTTCCACCGAGCTAGATGGCTTAGGTATCTTGAACCCAGGAGCGCTCTACCGTTAAACTACACCCTCAACTCTATTTTTTGTTTTGAGACAGGGTCTTACTAAGTTAACCATTAGGACTCTAACTTTTTTTGTTTTTCAAGACAGGGTCTCACTGGGTAGTTCAGACTGGCCTTGAACTCACTATGGGTCCCAGGCTGCCCTCAAGCTCCTGGCTATCTTTGGCTACCCTCCTGCTGCAGCCATCTGAGTGCTGGGATTGCAAGCGGACTCTTCAGTCTCCCAAGCGCAGCTCTGTACCCTGGTTCCTTCACCGTTTTTTAAGTGAGGAAGCAGCTTAGGCAGTTGGAATTTTTCTGAGATTAACTAGCAAATGAGTGAAATGAATTACAGAACCAAAAAAAAGTTGGTCTTTTTTGGGCAGAGGAGAACTCAGGACAACTGGCCACAGAACTGAATCACTGATGTTCACATAATTTTGTTTCTTGTAGTGGGACTTGAACCTGAGTCTCAAACATGCTAGGCAAATCCTCTTCCACTGAGCTACAATATTTGCACACCTCCCACCCAACACATTTCTTTTGTTTTCAACTGCATCTCAGTATGTACCCCAGGCTGGCCTGGAACTCTTGGTTCAAGTGACCCTCTTGCCTCGGCTTCCACAGTAGTTGGAACTACAGATGCATGTCATGCATCTGGTCCCATCAGATGATCTGTGCTGTGATTCTTTGGAGGTGAAGTTGCCATCTTTGTTTGTTAATTTTAAAATTTTTGCTGGACATGAGGGTGCATGCCTGTAACCCCAGCACTCAGGAATTTGAGGCAGGAGGATCCTTTTGAGTTTGAGCCCCGCTTGGGCTACATAGTGAATTCAAGGCCAGCCTGCACTATAAAGTGAGACCCTGCCTCAACAACAACAACAAAACCAAATAAATAAATAAAAATTTTCTATTGCCTTCCTCCTTTTCCGTCAGTTTGAGAAACTGGGCTTCACATTGAGCCACATCTCCAGCATTTAATTTTTTTTTTTTTTTTTTTTTGTCTTTTTTTGGAGACAGGATCTCCCTATGCAGTTCAGGCTGGCCTTGAGCTCACTTTGCAGCTCAGGCTGGTCTCAAACTCGAAATGATCCTCTTGCCTTAGCCTCCCAAGTGCTGGGATTACAGGCGTGAGCCACCACACATGGCTTCCAGCATTTAAATTTTTTATTTTTTAAAACCTTTTTTTGGCAACGGGGTCTTGATAAATCACTAAATTTCCCAGGCTGGGTTTGAATTTGCAATCCTGTTGCCTCAGTCTCCCAGATTATTGGGATTATAGGGGTGTCACCATACTCATGAGTGACTCCTTCTCCTGTTTTTTATTTTTTTGAAACAGTCTCCGTATGTATTCCAGCCCAGGCTAGCCTTGAACTCACGATGATTCTGAGCACTGGGGTTACAGACATGTGCCTCCATGCCTTTCTTCTTCTTTTTAAACTTTTCTTATTTATTTACTTATTTCTGGTGTTGGGGATTGAACTCAGGCCATGCACATGCTAAACCCTTGTCCTTCCGCTGAGCTCTACCCCAACCCTCAGCATTCTTAGTGACAGCTTCCAGAGGTGGCGAAGCCCTGAATTCCCTGAAGCTACATGCATGGGAGGGAGTGGGAGCTGTGTCTGGAAACTGCTTGCCCTTGCCTCGTGGCCAGTACTATGGAGGACACGTGATGTGTCAGGCCCCAGGCAGACTGCACTCTTGCCATGCCAGGAGGGTCTCCTGAGGCCAAGCCCACCTGCCTGCGAGCAGAGTCGTGGGGGAGAGGCTGAGGTTGGCTGGTGCCAATGATGTTGCTCTTGGACAGTAGCCGGGTCCAGGGAACACTGGGGCTCTTGTGCGGAAGGGCCGTCTCTGCGCCAGCTCGGCCCCAGCCCAGGCCCCGCTCTGGCTCCAGGCTGGCCCAAGCTCAGGGCCCATCCTCTCATGCAGCACTGGTCATTTCTTTCTTTTAAAGCAATTTTTATTTTGAAGAAAACTTAAAATACTGTCACATGTTAGATAAGGATGCTTCTGTCAAGCACAGATTGCGTAGGTCATAGTGATCCCAAAAGATTCTAACGGAGCTGGAGCTCAAAAGTTTCTATCATTCAGTATTTCTTGTGTACTTTGTATGTAGGTGTGCAGTACTGGAGACTGAACCTAGGGATGCTGTACCACTGAACTGTATCTGCATCCCTTTTTATTTTATTTTATTTCATTTCATTTTATTTATTTTTGTCCTTTTGAGACAGGGTTTCACTATGCAGTTCAGGCTGGACTTGAACTCACTTTGTAGTCCAGGCTGGCCTCGAATTTGCAGTGACTCTCCTGCCTCGGAGTCCTGAGTGCTGGGATTACAGATGTGTGGCACCACACCTGGCCCTTTTTATTTTTTATAAAATAAAATGTTAGTGCAAAAACATGCTGTGCAGGTTTATAACCTAGGAGCAATGAGCTATTATCTATCATCTATCTAAATCTTATATAGAGAGCCTAGGTAGACAATTAGGCTATACCACCTAGGTCTATGTAAATCCATTCAAAGATATTACACAGATGAAGCTGCGTACTGATTGAAAGATATTACACAGATGAAGCTGGCTTGACTGGCCAAAATGGAGATGAGATTGCCAGGTGCAGTGGCACATGCTTGTAATCCCAGCATTCAGGAGGCTGAGGCAGGAGAATCACTGCAAGTTTGAGGCCGCCTGGACTAGATAGTGAAAAAAAGGAACAAGGATAGGAAAGAAAGAAGTTAAACTATCATTATTTGTGGATGAAATGATAGTCTACATAGAAGACCCCAAAAATTCCACCAAAGACTTATAGATTTAATAACCAAATTCAGTCCTTTAGCTGGATATAAACACTCAAAAATCAATAATATTCCTGTACACAAATAACAAACTCATTGAGAGAGAAATTAGGAAAACAACATCTTTCCCAATAGTGCCTAAAAAAATGAAGACTCAATCTAATGAAGGAAGTGAAAGACTTTTACATTGAAAACTATGGTCATCTGAAAAAGAGATCAAAGAGGATGTCAGAAAATGGAAGGGTATCCCTTGCCCTTGGGTAGGAAGAACTAATATAGTGAAAATGGCCATATTTCCAAAACTGTTATACAGATTTAACTGCAATTCCACTCAAAATCCCAACAGCATATCTTACAGAATTAGAGAAATTAATCCTAAAATTCATTTGGAACCTGAAAAGACCTAGAATAGTAAAGGCAATTCTGAGCAACAAAAGCAAGGCAGAATGCACTGCACTTTCTGACTTGAAATTATACTGCAAAGCTACTATGATAAAAACAGCATGGTACAAGCAAAAAAAACAAACAAACAAAAACAGACCAGAGGATCAATGGAACAGATTAGAAGATGCAGAAACAACTCCAGACATACTTAGCTACCTTATCTTTGACAAAGGTGCAAAATACTTTCACTGGAAGAAAGATAGCCTCTTTAATAAATGGTGCTAGGAAAACTAACTTTCCACATGCTGAATACTAAAACTAGACTAATATCTTTCACCATGCACTAAACTAAAGTCAAAATGGATCAAAGACTTAAATATTAAAACACAAACATTAAATCTGCTAGAAGGTGAAATAGGTAGAACTCTTGAAGATATTGGTGTGTAGGCAAAGACTTTATGAACAAAATTCTAGTCACTCAGGAATTACCACAAAGAATCCACATGTGGGTTCTCATTTTATTAAAAAGCTTTTGTGGGGCTGGAGGTTTAGCTCAGCGGCATAAGCGCCTGCCTTGGAAGCAGGCAGTCGTGAGTTCGATCCCCGGTACCGATAAAAAGGAAAAAGACAAAAAAAAAAAAAAAAAGCTTTTGCACAGAAAGAGAAACCACCAAAAGAGTGAAGAGACAATCTACAGTGTAGAAAAGTTTTTTTTTGCCAGCTCTCTTCCTCAAAGGACTGATATCTAGACTATATAAAGAATTAATAAAATAAGACCACCCACATTTATTATTATTATTACTATTTTGTACTGGGAATCAAACTCAGGACCTTATGCTTGCTAGGTAGGTGCTTATGCTACTAAGCTATATCTCAAGGTCCCCAAATTTAAAGATCCAATCCAAAAATGGGCATCTGGAATGAGTAGACACTTCTCAGATGAAGTAGTACAAATAGCAAATATATGAAACAATATTCAACACACTGATTATTCAGGAAATGTAAATTAAAACAATGATAAGATTTCATCTCACTCCAGAAAGAATGGCTATCATCAAGAAATCAACCAACAACAAATGCTGGTGGGGCTGAGAGGAAAAAGGAATCTGCCTCTGCTGTTGGTGGGAATGTAGCCTGGTGCAACCACTGTGGAAATCAGTGTGGAAATTCTTCAAAAAACTAGGACCAGAAGTTCCATTGGACCCAAGTATTCTTCTTCATGGTATCCTCCCAAAAGAACTGAAAGCATTGTACCATGGTGATGTATGCACACCCATGTTTGCAGTGCACAGTTTGTAATAGCTAAATCTTGGAACAGCCCAAATGTCCATCAACTGGTGAATGGATAAAGAAGATGTGGTTCCTTTAATGTAACGGAGTACTACTCAGCCATAAAAGAGGGTAATCTTGAGAGATTTGTAGGTAAATGGATGCACCTTGAGAACATACTCGTAAGTGAAATAAATTAGACACACGTGTAAATACCATCTTGTTTCTCAGGAGAGAAACTAAAAATATAAAAAAGAACCAAAATGTATAATAAATATTGTGAAATAGGAAGATGTTCAGATGGAAAGGGGAACAAGGGAGGAGAGAGGGGGAAAGGAAGGGGAAAAATGAGAATAAAAGGGAAAAGTGAAAAGAAGCCTTTTGTAAATAAGGAAGGGAAGAGGAGTCGAAGGGAGCTAGGGGACTGGGAAAAAAAGAATCAAGTTGTATCGTGCACAGGCACAAATTCCCCATGGTGAATGTGATCATTATGTGTATCTAAGATGTACTGATACATTTAATTAATAAATAAAGGGATGGGGAGTCAGGGATAGCTCAGTGTGAAGGCCCTGGGCTCCATCCATAACACACAAGATAAGTAATAAGATAAAAAAATAAAAAGGGCTGGCGATGTAACCCTGAATTCAATCTCTAGTAATATAAAGCAAAAACAAAACAAAGCAAGACCTAACCGAGTCACTCTTTAATTTTATGCCTACCATTAATACTACTTGGCCTACCTAAATGTAGTGGTAAATTATTATTCTTATTATTTGGTACCAGGAATCAAATTCATGACTTTGTGCTTGCCAGGAAGACACTTAAGCCACTGAGCTAAATCCCCAGCCCTGTAGTAGTAAATTAAATTAAATGGTAAATTAAAGAGATAATTCTGACTTCAGGATGACTCTAGGTATGTCCCATCCCCTGGTCTTCTTTGCTATGTAATAACTTTCTTTCTTTCTTTTTTTTTTTTTTTTTTTATCGGTACCGGGGATTGAACTCATGACCGCCTGCTTGCAAGGCAGGTGCTTATGCCACTGAGCTTAAACCCCAGACCTTTTTCTTTTTTTCTTTCTTTCTTTTTCTTTCTCTCTTTCTCTTTCTTTTTTTCCTATGTTATTTTCATCTGCAGAGAGACTCTACTAAGCAGCATCAGACCACCATATTCATAGTTCAGTTAGTTTCCCATGAGTCCCCAAAAAAGACCAAACCTGGCTCCCATTGGCCCTGCTGGGTCACATGGTCATCTTTGGGCTAATCACACCCAATCACAGTGGTCTGGAGGATGAAATATTCTTTTTTTTTTTTTTGTCTGTTTCGTTTTTATCGGTACCGGGGATCAAACTCACCACTGCCTGCTTGCAAGGCAGGCGCTTATGCCGCTGAGCTAAATCTCCAGCCCCCAAGATGAAATATTCTTTTAGTTTGGTCTGGCGATTAAAGCCTAGTTCTTGAACTGAGTTAATTTGGCAGTCCTTTTTACTTTGTGTTTAGAAACAGGGTCTCATTAGATTGCCCCAGCAATTTAATTTGGATTCTCTTGCCTCAGCCTTCTCAGCAGCTGGGATTACATGCACCACCTAGCATGTCTGCCTCAGAATAGACTGGGAGCAAATGCACACCATAACAGCCAAGGGTGAAGTGCTGCCTTCACTCTAACCCTCATGGTCTGTGAAGTGGAGGACCAGGACATAAAAGAAAAACTGAGGGCTGTTTCTAGTGAGAGGAAGTGGGCTGATATCCATCTATTCTGGGATGGATCTTAAAGAGGGAAATTCAGAAACCTGAGTGGCTAATGGGCTAGTGGAAGGACTGGAAAGAGGGGAGAAGGGACAGGCAGGACAAAAGGACACTTCTAGCTACAAGAGCAGCAGTTGCAAAGGCACCAAGGTTTGAACCCATTGGGAATATTCAGGAGCACTTGCCTTGTATTCAGGCTGAGTCAGGAGGATTGCAGGTGTGAGCTGAGCTGGGCAATTTAGCAGCTTAACAAGACTCCATCTCAAAAAGCCACGGGGGCTGGGGATTTAGCTCAGCGGCATAAGCGCCTGCCTTGCAAGCAGGCAGTCCTGAGTTCGATCCCCGGTACCGATTAAAAAAAAAAAAAAAAAGCCACAGGGCTGGGGCTGTACCTCGGTGTGTAGATTTTACCTTGGGCCATCGTGACAGGCATAGGACTACTGTAATGAGGTCTTGTAGGGGGCACAAAAGGGCAGGCTCAACTCTGGACACAACTTGAGGGAGCAGGAATTTATAGCTGAAGAGCAGGGTGAAAGTCAAAGGAAGGAAACTGACTGAGGAAACAGAACTAACAGGATTCTTGCTAAACACAGGCTCCGAAAGATCAGATACCAGCTAGGGGATGGTGGGAGGGAGGAATCCAATCAGATAGAGAAGGCACAGGAGAGGGAGTTCCTGCTAAACTGATTTAGCAGGCTTATTTGGTAAAACTGGATTTTACAAGGAAGTGCTTAGAGAGCTCTGGCAGAAAATTCAGGAGCCTAACAAAAGTTTGAGCATTTCTGTCATTGAGGAGACTTCCATTTCTCTCAAAAGGCCTTTCTATAGCATCGCTTGAGTGCCCCACAACATGTCAGCTAGTGATCCAAGACAGAAAGACCAAAGCTGCAATATCTTTTACGACTTATTTTCGGAAGTCACACTGATTATTTCTGTCTTAGTCTACTGATTAGAAGTCAGTCATTAATTACAGTTACACTTGAGGCAAGAGGGTTAAATTTTGTTTTGATTTGTTTTTTGTCTTTTTCATTTTTATCGGTACCAAGGATCGAACTCACGACCGCCTGCTTGCAAGGCAGGTGCTTATGCCGCTGGGCTAAATCCCCAGCCCCAAGAGGGTTAAATTTGACATCTTGAGAAGCTGGGGCATGGTGGTACACTCGGGAGGCTGAACTAGGAGGAATGCCATGAGTTTGAGGCCAGTCTGGGCCACACAGGAAGACTGTGTCTCAAAAAAACAAAAAATGAATGAATGAACAAAAAACCCGCCTAATATAGGGTCTGGGATTTAGCTCAGCAGCATAAGCACCTGCCTGGCAAGTGTGAGGTTGTGAGTTAGATCCCTGGTACCAAAGAAAAACTAAACCAAAACAAACAAACAAAAAACAACCCTAACAGCTTGAAAGGAAGGATATAAAACTATTTGTGGTATGTGGGAATATAGCTCAGTGGTAGAACCTGGACCTAGCATAGACAAAACACTGAATTTGATCACTAGCTCTACAAAAACCAAACCAAACCTAAGCAAATCAAAACCAAACCAAAGTCACTTCCTAGAGACCTTCCCGTCTCACCCACCCCCGTCTACGCTCAATCTTCTTGTTGTCTGCCTGGTTGAATTGGAATTTCTCTTTCAGCACTTTATGGCGATGAGTCACCAGTACCCAGAAGGCCCTACAGGGCAGAGATTGCATCTCAGCTTAGGGTCCTGACATTCAATAGGAGCTGAGGAAAAGGAAATTCCTTTTCCCACATTCTCTGTCTTTCCTCTGCCTTGGACCTTCCTAGTCTCAATAAAACCTGAGGAGCCTTTTCATTCAGGGGCAAGGAACATACATTGCTTTACACGAAATTATTAGGTCGGTCACACAATTTTAAAGTCCAGGCATGGATCAGGCTTCAGGACAGTTATATCTTTCAGACCCAAGAAAGCAGTCAGCATCCATTCTCTCTTCTGTTTTTTTCCCTCTGGTTCCATCCTCCAGGAACTGCTCCATGACAAAGAAGACCTTGAACAGCTCTGGGTTCAAGGCTTTCCATTTGAAATACCTTCTCAGTGGTTCCAGGACAATCTGGGAGTGCAGAGATCACCTTCCCCCAGATCACAAAAGCAGAAGGTGGGTCTCTTCAAGGAAAATCCTATCATTGGAAGAAAGGAGACTAGATAATGGGATGAACAGAATAAACTATGATTACTATACCTGTGACTATCAGGCTTCATTGCACAATAAGCCATTCCCAAACTTTGTTATTTAAAACACTTTATCGTTCTTGAAATCCTGTGGATTAGCTGGGCTCAGACCTGCTGTTCTCCCTGGGGTTGCTTATGCCTTAGATTGGCTGCAGTAAGTGTCTAAATTGGTCTCCTTGCACATATGGAGCTGGCTGTTGGCTTCTCTGCACGTGTGCTCTTCCTGTCTCCATAGTCTTGCCCAGACTTCCCTTCACAGTGGCAGGAGTTGATGCTCTGAGGACTCTTACGTCCTAGCCCTCAAAGTTATCTCATGTCATGTCATTGCATTCTCTGATCAAAGACAATCACAAGGCCGGCCCAGCTTCAAGGGATTGGGAAATAGACCACTCTGTTTTAATGGGGACTGTCACATTGCAAGAGGGCACAGGCAAGGTGCATGGGAAGTCATTTTGAAAATAATCTATTCTAAACTTGGCATGGTGGCACATACCTGCAATCCCAGTGCTCAGGAGGCTGAGGCAGGAGGATCATTGGGAGTTTGAGGCCAGCCTAAGACACATAGTGCGACCCTGTCTCAATGCCCCCACCCCAAAAAGGTCAAAGCAAAGTAAAGCAAAAAAAAAAAAAAAAAAAAAAAAAAAACCAAAAACACAATCTGTTCTACAGGACTCTGAGCCTCAGGCAGGAGGATTGCAAATTTGTCCTAGGCAATTTAGACCCTATCTCAAAATCAAAAATAAAAAGGGTTGAGATATAGCTCAGTGCAAAGACCATGAGTTCAGTTCCCAGTTCTCTAAACAAACAAACACCTAAATAAAACAAAAACCAATCTATTATACTTCACAACTCACATTTTCTTTTTTTTCTTTTTGATTTTTTTGAGACGAGGTCTCCCTACATAGTGCAGGTGGGCTTTGAACTTGCTTATGTTGGTCTTGCACTCATGGCCATCCTTCTGCCTTAGTCTTCTGAGAGCTGGGATGACAGGCATGCACCACCAAACGGGCACAACCCAGCTCTTCTAAACCCTTTCACTGACACCAGTCTCATCCCAGCAAGCTGGCTCCTTTGATCTTCATAACCAATAGAACCATGGTGACAAACCTATGGCAAGCAGAGGCCTCTCAATTGGCTTGTGAGCCACACAACCCCAGTAGCCAAACATCAGAAAACAATTGTTCTTTCTAAACTAAAACATCAGTATTAAGGTTTAATTGCAGGGTTGGCACTTTGTAATAAATCAACTGGTTTTGGGTTGCAGGATGGGCTCTTGGTTGCTAAAAGGTTCATCAACCCTGCAGTTGGGGTTCATCTACATGTAGGGGTTCATCTACATGAAGTCCTACATGGTTGGGGTGTACCTCAGTGTAGAGTTCTTGCCCAACTTGCCTAGAGTACAGGCCTGAGTTTGATCCCCAGCATGACAACAAAAAGAAAAATAATCACAGCCCTTTTCTAGGCACCAGGGATCCGGTATGATGAATAAGATCTAGTTCCTACCCTAAAGTTTCTAATCTAAAAGAGGAGGCCAGCCCACCCCCAAATATATATAGTTCAGTGGCGAAAGCCCCTGCTTGGCAAGCAAAAGGTCCTGAGTTCAATTCTCAGTATCAAAAACAAAAAACAAGGAAGTCAGGATTTTTTGGGGAGATAGAGTCTCTCTATGTAGCCCAGGCTAGCCTCAAACTCACTATGTAGTCCAGGTTGGCCTTGAATTTGTGAGGATCCTCCTGCCTCAGCCTCCCAACTTCTGGGATTACAGGCATGAGCCATCAAGTTCAACTCAGAAGCCAGGAATTAAATAGATGATAACAGTATATCAAGAGTAATGCCAGAAGAGATCACAGGGAAATTCCATTTAGAAAGGGCAGCCAGGTAGCTCAAGGTTGGGAGTCAGTGATCTTTTTAGTATGAGAGGAGGTCTCTAAGCTGAAAAAGCCAGGGAAAGAAGTAACAGGCAGTTTTTTTCTCCCTTTAGTATGAAGATCAAACCCAGGGCCCCTGGCATACTGGTCAAGCACCCTACCACTGAGCTATGTCTCTACTTCCTAGGCAGAGCTGTGGATCAGAAGGGGCAGAAACCAAATTCAGCTGGGTATAGTGGTATACTCCTGTAATCCTAGCACTCAGGAGGCTGAGACAGGAGAATCACCACAAATTCAAGGCCAGCCTAGGCTATGTAATGAGTTCAAGGCCTGCCTGACCTATGCAGCAAGACCCTGTCTCAAAAACAAACAACCCCCCCCAAAAAAAAACCCCAAAAAAAGTGGAAAGAAAGAAACCAAGTTCAAAAGGATTTAAGGCAAAATCATTACCAACAACTCCTGGGGATACTTGCTTTAGGCCAGACTGGGTCCAGGTACTCAGCGGTCAGCAGCATCTGCTTGTTAGGGCATTTGCCTATAATTCCACTGCCCCCACCCCAAAAAGGTCAAAGCAAAGTAAAAAAAAAAAAAAAAAAAAAAACACAATCTGCTCTACAGGACTCTACGAGGATGGGTGGGTGACGCATGAGGATCCTGAATTCAGGGTCTGTTTGGGCAATTTGGTGACTCAGTGAGACTCTGTCTCAAAGAATAGAAGAATCAGGGCTAGGGATTTAGCTCAGCGGCATAAGCACCTGCCTTGCAAGCAGGCGGTCGTGAGTTTGATCCCCGGTACCGATAAAAAGATTAAAAAAAAAAATAGAAGAAGCCCATTCCAAAAATAAAAAATAAAACAACCAAAAAAACTCAGAAACAAAAAACAAGAAATCAGTCTTATCGGTTGGGTGATTCTCTGTGTTGACTTAATGCTCAGGCAGATTTCCCTTATGATGTCGGTAGGCTGATCTACACTTAGATTCTGATTGCTCACGCTGGGTCTCAGGCTTGTCTTCTGGAATCTGGGCTTGAGATCTGCGCCTCAGGAGCTCAGAGTCTAAGAACAGAGCAGCTATGCCCAAAAGGAACAGTGTAGAGCATGCGGATCAGGCCAGACATCAGGCAGCTCCCAAGGAGGTCACTAAATTATAGCCTTCCCCAAGAGAAGTCCTGACCAAAATGTCCTAAGGCTCCTAAAGAAGTAGGGAGCAGATAGGCAAAGAACAACTGGGAGCATGGGTCAGCTCTCTCCAGGGCTATTTGGTTTTGCAAGCTCTGCCAATTCTTTGCCTTGGGTTGTTTTGTTTTGTTTTTCATGTGAAATCAAGTCTTTTCCAGTTGTCTGGACGGGTAATTGAAATATCAAATACGATGGAGCTGCAGAAGAGCTCTCCTCTGGTCAGTAGTGAGGTCCTGAGGCCAGTCTGCCGTGCTCAGCACAAAGGCGCATTCTCCATCTAGTGGCCACCGAGTTCCCTGTGCAGAGAGCCGGGCTGCTGTGACACCGTGTGTAGAGAGTGGGATGGGGCGCGCAGGAAAAGCAATGTCCGGTCTTCTCCGGGGATGCGGGGTTGGCATAGAGCAGAGGCTGTTAAGTGGATGGAGCGAGTGACTGCATCATGGGTCTGGGTGGAGAGAGGGACAGTTTATCTGGCAGAGGCTGCTGTGGGGGAATGGTTTCTTCTTTATTCATTTTGGGAAGAACCCATAACTGTCCATCACGACTACTTCAGGAATCCAGCTGGGAACAGTGGCTTCTTCCAACTTACACTTTACAGAATCAAGACCTCAGGTCACATGAATTTGGTGGTGGCATTGACTGATTGATTGACTGACTGACTGAGATTGGGTCTTGATATATAGTCCAGGCTGGCCTTAAACACGCAGCAATCCTCCTGCCTCAGCCTTCCCAGTACTGGAATTACAAGTGTGCACCACTCTGCCCAATATGACTATTTATTTACTTAATTTTTTAGCAGTACCAGGTATCCCCAGCCTATTTTTTATTTTGAGACAGGCTTTCACTATGTAGACCAAGCTGGCCTTGAACGCACCCTAGCTCAGATTGGCCTTGAGCTCGTGGCAGTCCTCTTGCCTCAGCCTCCCAAGTGCTGGGATTACAGTTAGCTATCCTTTAACTGTCTCTCTTTGAAGTATAAATTAACTAACCAAGATCACTGGACAGTTCTTCTGTCTGGTGGAGAACACAGCTTGGCCAGAGAAGAGCTGAGATCTGAACCTTGGTTGCCTAATTCCAAGTTCGAGTTTACCATGACACCAGACCACCTCTCCGGAGCTGATGCCTCTCTGTGAGATGAGACCTTCCCTGGCCACCAGTGCCATGAGCAGGAGCTTCCTCTGATGTTTAACTGCTTGACTATCCATAGATCCTGCGCATTGTCACTAACACTGTTCCAGGGTAGAGAAATCCAAATCTGATCTCTGGAGTGCTGAGAGTTCTTTAAGAGGCCCTAATTGGAAGTCGGGACTTGAGTTCAAATCTTGAGTACAAACAGAATGGCTGAAAATTAAAAAGAATGTAAATTGGTAGAATCATTTTGAAAAACCATTTGGCAGTACTAGACAACTAAAAACAAAGCAAAAAAAAAAAAAAAAACCCTCAAAATCACTCCTAAGTGCACATGTATACCAAACAATATGTACAGAATTCTTCACAGCAGCTTTATTTAGAATAATCCCCAATGAAAAACAACCCAATTATTCAACAAACAGTTGAAAGGCTGGGCTAGTGATATAGCTCAGTGACATAAGCAACTGCCTGGCAAGCTCAAGGTCCTGAGTTTCATTCCCGGTACCATTAAAAAAAAAAAAAAAAAAGCAGTAGAAAGGCTTATCTGTGGTAGTTTCAAATAATGGGTTGCTACACAGCACAAAAAAGTGAACTTCTGGTACAATAATATGGATGAGCTTCAGATATTATGCTGTGCAAATATATATATGTATATATATGTGTATTTCCATTTTTATAAAATTTAAGAGTAAGTAAGCAAGCCAGGAGTACACATGCCTGTAACTCCAGCATCCAGAGGACTGCCAAGGCTAGCCTGAACTACATAGCAAAACCCTATCTCAAAACAACAACAACAACAACAAAACAAACTGCAACAACAACAAACAACAAAACAAAACAAAGCAAGCAAGACTTGTGTATGGTGATACAAGTGGACACAGTGGTTCTGAGGGGTTGTGACTAATTAGAGGAACCAAGAACACTTCTGGAAAGCTGGCAGCATTGTGTACTTTTGTTGTTATTGTTGTTGTTTGGTGCAGAGAATGGAACAGAAGCCTTGTGTATGCTAGGAAACGTTCTGTGTCCTGACCTAGAAGGTGACTGCTCACATATTTACACATAAGATGACTCATCACCCTAAAAACTAGTGTACACTGCTAAACATATGCTAGCTCTCAAAGTTAGAGAAAAAACGAAATGGCTTTCCGGACAGTCCTTGGTCTGGCATAGAATACTTTTTGTCTGTCCCTCTAGTCTAGCAAGAATCTTACAATTTTCTTTTCGAAACAAGGTCTCGCTTTATGGTGTGTGCTGGCCTTGAATCATCAAATAGCCCAGGCTGGCCTCAAACTCGTGGTGATCCTCCTGCCTCAGCCTTCCGAGTGCCAGGATTATAGGAGTGCATCACCACGCCCATCCCACAATTTTCTTTCTGGGTTGCGTCTTCATCTCCTTCTCAATTGATGTGCTTTAGGTAGAGCTAACTCCTTCCCAGGATTTACGCACATGACCAGACCTCAAATCAGAGCACTGATTTCCCCAGCCACGGTGGCTGGCTTAGGAATGGGAAGGCCCAAGCTGGCTACTGAGTTCATCCAGGACTTTAGTTGGAACTAGTTAGTAAAGATTTTTTTCCACCATTGTTCCTTTTTTTTTTTTTTTTTTTTAATTAGTGGGCTGGGGATTTAGCTCAGTGGCATAGGTGCCTGCCTTGCAAGCGCGTGGTCCTGAGTTTGATCCCTGGTACCAAAAAAAAATTAGTACATATTTGTCATATATAATGATCACATTCATTGTTGGGTATTTGTACCTGTACATAATATATCAGAATTCTTTTTCTTCATTCTCTTCTCTCTCTCTAACTCTTCTTCGGCTCCCTATTTAAATGGCTTGTGCAGGATGCTGAGGCAGGAGGATTACTGTGAGTTCCAGGTCAGCTTGAATTACGCAGCAAGATGGTGTCACAAACAAACAAAGTTTTGTTTCGGTATTTTTTCTTCCATTCTTTTCTCTCCCTTTTCCTTTACTCTGCCCCTCTTCCTTGTTCTCCTTCCCATTAGAGCATGTTCTTCCTACTTCCCAATATCTAGCCCTCCATTGTGCTCCTAGTTTACCCCCTGAATTTGTCACACAAGTGAAATAATTGATATTTATACTTGCATGCCTGGCTGGGAATGGTGGTGCACACCTGTGTTCCTAGCACTCTGCGGGTTGAGGCAGGAGGATCACTGTGATTTCAAGGCCAGCCTCAACTACATAGCAAAACCCTGTCTCAAAAAAATAAACCTGTGAGCCCAACTTATTTTACTTAGAATTATGGTCTTAAGGTGTATTCATATACCTAAAAAAGAAACCAAGTTTATCCTTTATGAGAGGATACTCCATTGTACAAACACCACCACCACTACCCACTTTTTTTTTTATCCACTCCTCTGTTGATGGGCATGTGAGCTATTTCCAAGAATTAGTTATTATAAATTTGCTGCTATAAACATAAGTATTCATATATTGCTGTGGTACACTTTACCTTGGTGGGGGGAATATCTGGGTCAAATGGAATCACTAGTTTTAGTGTTTTGAGGAATCTTTATACTGATTTTCCCAGTGGTTGTATCAATTTACACTCCCCCTAGCAATGGAGAAGAGTTCTTCTTTCTTCAAACCTTTGGTCGATTTCTTGATGTTAGTCATTCTTTTTTGGAGATGAAATTTCCAGTGTTGTTTTAATTTATATTTCTCGAATGACCAATGATACTGAACATTTTTCCATAATTTGTTCTTTGTACTTCTTCATCTGAGAAATGTCTATTCATTTCAGATGTCCATTTTTGGGTTGGTTTTAAATTTGGGGGTCCGATTTTTTTGAGTTCTTTGTATATTCTAAGTGTTAGTCCTTTTCTGAGTAGCTGGTAAAAATTTTTTCCCACACTGTAGGGTATCTCTTCACTCTAGCAGTGGTTTCTTTTGCTGTGCAAAAGCTTTTTCATTTATATGATACCATTGTGTTTTTTTTTTTTCCTTTTTATCGGTACCAGGGATTGAACTCACAACTGCCTGCTTGTAAGGCAGGTGCTTATGCTGCTGAGCTAAATCCCCAGTCCCCTATTTCCTGTGTGATGGAGGTTTTGTTTGTAAAGCCTTTGCCTACATCTTTTTTTTTTTTTTTTTTTTTTTTTTTTTTTTTTTTGGTATTGTAAGTTGAACTCAGGACCTTACATTTGCCAGGCAGGTGCTGTGCCACTGAGCTATATCCCTGGTACTTTTTTCTTTCTTTTTTTTTTTTTTTTTTGGTACCAGGGATCAAACACACAACCTTGTGCTTGCCAAGCAGGCACTTGTGTGGCTGAGCTAAACCCTCGGGCCTTTTTTTTGGAAACAGGGTCTTACTACATAGTTCAGATTGGCACTCACTATGTAGCCTATGCTGACCTCACACTCATAGTAATTTGCTTGCCTCAGTTTCCATACCTGTTTTCAAGAGCCTTACCTAGCCTTTTTTTAAAGACAGGGTCTCTCTATGCAGTTCAGGCTGGCCTTGAGCTCACTTTGTAGCCCAGGCTGGTCTTGAACTCCAAAGGATCCTCCTGCCTCAGCCTCCCGAGTGTTGGGATTACAGGTGTGAGCCACCATTCCTGGCTGACCCAGCCTATCTTCCAGCAGATTGTTTCTTTTTTTAATATTTAGATCTTAATCCATTTTTAGTTCATGGTGAGATACATGGGTCTGGGTTCAATTTTCAGCAGGTAGAAAGCCAGTTTTCCCAGCACCATTTATTAAAGAGGCTATCTTTCTTCCCATGAAGGTGTTCGGCTCCTTTGTCAGAGATAACTACCATTGTTACTCATATATCAGGATACACACCTGGAGTGGCCAGTGGGCATCATGCCACCTGCTGGAGTTTGCCTGAGAAGGAGGCCACTCAGAGCAAGATGAAATTATTCCTGATGATAGTAGTAGAACCTGGGGCCGGGTTCAGCTCAGCCTCATAGCACCTACCTGGCAAATATAGGTCATGAGTTTGATTCCCAGTACAAAAAACAAAAAACAGGGGCTGGGATTTAGCTCAGCGGCATAAGCGCCTGCCTTGCAAGCAGGCAGTCGTGAGTTTGATCCCTGGTACCGATAAAAATGAAAAAGACCAAAAACAAACAAACAAACAAAAAAAAACAACAAAAAAGAAACCAGTATCAGAACCTGGATTTAGCTACCATAGTCTTCATCAGGTGAATCAACACATTTCCTTTTTCAGTGAATCACTTTGATTTTCTTAGTTATGAGAGTCTAATACTTTTGGAATATAGTAAAAATTCTTTTTTTCTTTTTTTAAATACAGGGCCTCACTATGCAGTTCAGGCTAGCATTCTACTCAGTATGTAGCTCATGGTGGCTTTGAACTTATGATCTTCCCATCTCTGCTCTGAGTGCTGGGATTTCAGGCATGTGCCACCACTTCTGGCTTGAATAGTGTAAAAATCTGAGCAGTATGGGGAGGCTTGCAATAGAAATTAAGCTCTGCCTAATTTGTTCTGTGGGTGCTGGTGCTGCTCCTGGCCCAAGTGGCTGTGTGCTTCATGAGACCATGCCACTGCCAGGATATGGGCAAGACCAGCTGAAGGGAAGGACACTGGTTCCAGTTCGGAAAGAGTTCTAAACTGGGAGAATAGAGACCTGAATAATACTCTCCATTTTGCTGCTCCTTAAGAGGTAGGATCTTGACAACTTACTACAGTTCTTTAAGCCTTTTTTTCTGAGGCAGAATATCTTTTTTTTTTTTTTTTGTCTTTTTCATTTTTATCGGTACCAGGGATTGAACTCACGACTGCACACTTGCAAGGCAGGTGCTTATGCCACTGAGCTAAATCCCCAGCCCTTCCCCCTTTTTAAAAAAAATACAGTTTAAAAAAAATTTTTTTTTTGTCTTTTTAATTTTTATTGGTACCAGGGATTGAACTCATGACCACACACTTGCAAGGCAGGTGCTTATGCCACTGAGCTAAATCCCCAGCCCCTCTAAGCAGAATATCTTAGTCTAGCTCAAAATATTATTGTGTAGATCAAGTACAAGTTTCCCTTCTTTTTTTTTTTTTTTGGTACCAGGGATTGAACTCGCGACCTCACACTCGCCAGACAGGCACTTATACCACTGAGCTATAGCCCCAGCCTGAGTTTCCCTATTTCTCCAACTTTTTCATACTCCTTAGTTCCTACATTGTGGGGATTTCCACAGACTCCCACATAACCCTCTGGTCCACTGTCATAATGATCATTAC